TGATGGGCTCAAGTACAGCAAGGATCATGGAGTTGGTGCGGGATCGGGCAGTGTTTTGTTCTGCTGTGCATGGAGTCGCTATGAGTTGGAAACAACTCGATGGCACCTAACAACAACACAAAGACAGGCTGGAAGAACTACATGAAGTAATTACAACACACCTGCTTTAAACGTTTTCATTTTGTGCGTAGGATGGTGGTAACTTGATTAGAAAGGGGACTGGAAATTGCACAGAGGTAGATTGGAGAGAATATTCAAGCATCTTTCACATTGGCAAAATAGAAACCTCTGGAGTTCCGTTCCTGCCTGATGAGTGCGATGGTAGCTGTGGTTTTTGCCTTGGCATTCTCTTTGCTGAAGACTTAAGATTATCAATCTTTGTTGTCTCTGTATTGTAGTCATTCCCTGACTTAATAACACGGTTCTGTTCTGACCATAAGTCAATTCTGATATAAGTTGGATACCTCTTGTTTTTTTTCGGTTTATTGCCTTTTATTGTCAGTATAATAGTAAACGGCACCTAACAAGAACATTATCGGTATCTTCATAAATCTGAATTTTATTTGTCTTTGAGAGTTGCAAACATAATCTGCTCTGGTAGATACTCTTCATCTTGTATTGTCCAGCCCATCCTTGAGTGTTTTGGCAGCTTCAACATCAGTGTGTCCCACTTCTCCAGTTATGCACGTTATATCTACTAACTAAAAGGTCTGTGGTTCTAACCCACCAGCTGCCCGCAGAAGAAAGATGAGGCAGTCTTCTTCTATAAAGATTTATAGCCTTGGAAATCCAATGGGGGTTGCTATGAGTTGGAATCAACTAGATGGCGGTGAGGTTTCCCCCCCCCCCCCCAAAAAAAAAAAACATCTACAGTGAAATCAGAGTTGTACCGGCTGTTGAATGTATGTGCAGGTCAATTGTCATGTTGTAGACCAGGTCATAGTATTTTGAACAGTAAATCATCTGCAAGTGAATATCTGAGTGATAGCAGTGGCAAATTACATGTTACAACA